ACTCTACATGATGTAAGCAGGGCCACTTGTATGAAAAATAAAAAAAATAAATGGAAAGTGCGCTCTATCACTTTTTTTTTTTCATTTTTGTTTAATGCAAAAAAATATTATTTTGTTTTAAACACTCAACGCTAAACCTTTAGTCTTTTCACTAAACCAGGGGGTCTGCAACCTTCTGCTCCTTGCTTTACTATTAAATGTGTCCAGAGCCGCAAAACATGCTACATCTGTGTTTGTCAACTGCTGGTCCGTGGGCCACTTTGAGTTTGTTGTGTAGGGTGACATTATACAACTATAAATATATCAAATCAGCTTTATTTATAAAGAGCTTTAAAACAGTGGCTGCTGAAACAAAGGGCTGTACATGGAGGCAAAAACAAAACAAATCAACAATAAAAACAAAAACAGCTAAAACAGAACAAAGTCTCGTGTTAGGTTAAAGGTCAGTGAATAAAAACAAGTTTTAAGAATAGATTTAAAAACAGGCAGTGAGGAGGCCTGCCTGTTTATAGTGAATTTGAACATTTATCATTTTTATAATCCTTGGGATAAAAAGACCATCCTATAAACAAAAAAAATACTGTGTACAGTTTATACCAAATTTAATAAAAACCTTAAGTTTTTAGTATTTTCTAATGAATTAACCATATTTCTTCTCAGCAGCTTGTCTCGCAGGTATTCAAAAAATCCTGAATGATTTGAGAATTTTAAAAAAAATCATACTTTCAGGCTGGATTGTTGAAGTGGTCAACAAACTACTAACATGATCTATCATGTACGATCASGTTTAACTCCTTGTGTTATAATAGTTTCAGAAATGTGTCGATATATATGAGCTGTGGTTTGTTTCACGTCTGTTCTACACGCAGACAACCATCCTGGTTTRGTGTTAAATTTATGATTGAGGTGACTCAAACTCAGCAGTTAGTCATTTTGTGTAATGAGCCTGTTTGTTCTCTGAGAATACGCTGACTCAGCTGGATTTAAGAGGCTTTGAAAAGCTGCCTGATGTGTTCCTGTTTATTGATCTGGTCCGACTGTGACGCAGCAGAGGAATGCAGCGGCGAACATCACCTGCGGTGTTTAGATGACCCCGCCCCCTTCGCTCCGCCTCACTCTGCGGTGTAGATCGTTCCTCACGAGTGTGTGTGAAATTAGGAGCAAATAAAGCTGCCGGAGCTCCGGGCTCTTTCAGGCTGACAGGTTCTGTTCCAGACCTGCTGCGGGAGCAGAAATATGTGAAGCCGAACTCGACCGTTTTCACCCAGAATCTGATGGAAGCTGTAAGAACTAAAGCTGAACTCCAGATTCTGTGTTTTCTGCACTGGTTTTACAGTTTCACTAAGTCCAGTTTGTGCCGTTTTAGCTCAAAACATTCAGTTCATTTAGGAGATGGGTGCTAGGATTTTTACTTTTCCAAAATTTTTACTTTATTTAGAAATATTTTCTACATTAAAAATWCATTCATTCTTCAGATCTTTCAAAAACTTTCTTCTTTTTAAATCTGCATCAGAAAACTGCTCTGTTTTTGTCTTTTTAAAGCTATATTTAGCTTTTAGCTAGCATTCTTCTTTTTATTTTTAGCTAGACTTGTAAGACTTCAGATGATCTTAAAGAAAAATGTTTGTTTTATTTAATGTTCTGTAGTGCCAAGATGTTTTTTTTAAATAAAGTTTAACCAGGAAAAAAAGACTTAGCTAGCCTTTTGCTACTTCTGGTTTTTAACTAGCATTTTGCAGCTTTTAGTTACCTATCTGCTAGTTTTAGCATTTTGTTACTTTAAATTTTAACCACCATTTTACTACTTTTTACTTTTTAAATTAGCATATTGCTTCTTTTAGTTTTTGGAAAGCATTTTGCTTCTTTTTGCTTCTAAAT